AGTGACAGTCACGTACCAGAATGCTGGCAACTGTGGGACATTATACCAACACCATACCATTGGGTGGGGGGAGAGGGGGGGGCTGGCCAGCACTGCACCATATTCAGGGCATTCGAACTCATTCTGAGAAGCTTGCATGTATGAGGTTCCGGCCATCCTGTATTTCCCAATGCTAAGCCCTCAATTCTGAACCTTCAATCTTAAACCCTGAATCTTACGTCCTCGGTGATGCGGCTCTCTGCACGGCCAGGGGTACCGTGCTGGACAACTGCACCGCCAGGAGCAGGCAGGAGTTGGGTGGGGGACGACCGACAGTGCCACACCGCAGCTGAGGTCTTGTAAGGGTGTAGGGTATAGGGGTGTTGGCAATCCGGAAAAGTGTCACGCAATTCGAGACCCTTATCATTGCTATCCAAGCTTATCCGGCTCCCATTGGACTCGCCCGAGGAACTGCAATGGCTCGGCGCGTTGTGCATTTTGGCCTTGGTTCTGGCGGTGGCTGAGGCAGTTGGGCTTGCCTCTCCCGGAAATTTTTGTATGAGCAATTGTCAATTTTCGGGTTACCAAGGGACCATCAAGTGCGGACCTGGGGAATATGAACCCATATCGAGTCATTATGTTTCAAACATTACATGTAGCTCATTTCAGTGCTGAAGATCAGCCCATTGCCCAAATATCCCCTAATGCTATAGTCCTTATTGCATTGACCTCAAGCGCCGTCGTGGTTCAGGAATCTGCTTTGAGACAATGCAGATTGCCATGGCCTGAGGTTCCAAGACATAAGCTCGGGGTTTCGTGTTTAGGGCTTGCACCAACCAGGCGTCTGGTTACAATGACTCTTTGAGAGATTGGTGGCTTTCAAGCCACCATTGACCAAGGAGCGAGCCCCCGAGCAGTTCTGGGCTCTCTTCACGTTGGGGTTTGTTTTTTTTTGTAGGCGGGTATAGTTGCACTTCATGGTAACTATTGTTCGCATTTTTTGCAGGTCAACTTTGACCGCCAAGAACTCACAGTGACTCCGTGAATTGTGTGACGTCACCCAAGCCCACGAAATCCAGACCATGCACCTTTGGCACCCTGTTGGCCCTTCAACTCCATGCAAATTTGAGAGCACAGAGCCCGGAAGCCCAAACCCAAAACCCGAATTAAGCCGTAAATCCTAAACCCGTAATCAACAGAATATTAGACCCCAAGCAGCCACAGCAAGGTTCGCGCACCACGCTGCCGGGAGCCTGGTTTGGGGGTCTCAATCCTTTTCATGAAGTTTCAAAGGTGATCCCTTCCCCAATATTAAGCACCCTCCCATATTCCCAGCATGAAATACTCCACATGAAACATCAGGTAATGTGGGTATCAAGCAGGGCAGCGAATCCCTACTTCAGGGTCTTTTGCTCCTTGCATGTTGCCCCCCAACCTAGTATTCAATATGTCCCCCATCATAGTCCGGCTTTGACAGATTCCAAGTCATGTTTGATTTTGGGGGATGTCCAAGAGTAGGTGGAAGCTGAACGTTCAGCTTTCGAAAGCCTCAGTGGCCGAGCTCTGCATGTCCATAACCGGACAGTTGATTTCTTAATGTCATTTTGTGTGGAATAACCCCATCTACGGTCCTTGGGATATTTCTGACGCGAATTTTTAGCTTCGGTCGGTGCAGATGGGCTAAGACAGTTGGCCTTTCGCTTTCAACGCAAAACTGTATGTATCCTTAGAAAAATATAAAAGAATGATTTTTGTAGGGCCTCCGCATGTATCCCAGTCTTGCCCACACTCCTAAATGAGTCGAAATTTAGGTGGGGCCCCACCCAGTACTAATGACGAGTAGGGATAATTGGGGTCCTCTCATATTCCCCGTATATCACCCTAAACCGTAAATCCTAGACCGTAAATCCAAAACCGTAACTCTAAACCATAAATCCTAATCCTCAAATTCTAAACTCTATCTTAATCCTAATTCACTGAGCCTTAAAATCCTGTCGCACCCTGTTATATTCCCATTAAACCTCTATTGCTGTGTGGTGGGTCCACCTAAGGTCAAATCTTGGTTTGCAGAGCCTGCCATGTTCAAAATGGTGCTGGGCTTGGAGCATGCCTCGGTTAGTCTCTAGGGTTTAAGCCTTTAGGGCTAAGTGTTTAGGGTTTAGGGCTTTAGGGCTTAGGGTTTGAGGTTTAGGGCTCTAGGGTTTAGTGCTTTAAGGTTTGGGGTTTGGGGAAGTGAAGCATACTTAAGACAACGGGGGTGGTGTCGTTGGTATCGGTCGTGGTAACGTAGACGCAGCAGCAGGGACGAATAGTTGGAGGAGGAGCAAAACAACTAGCAGGGTATCATGCCCTGAGTTGGACCGGGGGGGGAAGGTAAAGGCGTTTGGCAGGTCCACGTGTGCGGGTTGTTAGAATCAGGTGTCAGAATTCAGATTCTTGGGGCTAATGGTTGCTTCCAGCATGGAAGGCAGATGACAAGGACCTTGCAACCCTACCTAGATGCCACGCAAAGCTTCCGAGATGGAGGGGGTGAAAGGCTTGGCGCCAGTAGACTGTCCACCTTCTGTTTACACTTGGTGATTGTGAGAACAAGACGGTCAGCGACCTTTTCTGTCGGGTCAGGATCAAGTGCCCAGCTAAGGTGCACATTCTCACGAAGAAGGCGGCCAGAAAAGAGGCTTCTTTTTGCTTTCAACTCCGCAGACAGATGCTCCCATCATGAGTCATGAGCCATAAGCGCTGGTCGGAGGGTTGGCAATTCCCAGACCTCATGACATTCTGTAGGAAGTACTGTAGGGGGCTGATTGCCAAGTTGATGATCCTAGATTTTGGTAGGTGGTACTCCAAATAGGCCTCAGGATGATGTTTGGCGGTTTCCCTAAACAGGGGGACCCCAATATAGACCCCAAAATATATAAATCCTCAGTATAGGGATCCCCAAAAAATCCCCCAGGTTTTGTGAAACCCCCAAATAGGCCTCAAAATGATTTTTGTAGTTCCTGGAGGTAATTATAGTTGACACCTGGCTTGCAGGTCAAATTTGACACGCAATGATTCGGTGAATGGGGTAATTTTCTCTCAGCCTGCGAAATCCGGACCATGGCAGCCCTTTGGCCCTTCCTGTTGATGCAAATTGCGAACACGGAAGCCTAAACCTAAACCTGAGTTAAGCCGTAGATTGATATATACTAAATGATACGGTTCCTTCTCATGGTAACTTAAAGCAAGTTTTTTGCAGCAAGCCAGATTAATGGAGAATCAAGTGGAAAAGATCATGGAAAATGAAATGGGATCTGGGATCATGTGGGGGTTCGTCTATGAACAGTGCTAACGTGACGTCCTAAATTCTTATAAAGATATACCTAGTTTTGGCTAGGGTTTTTCCTAAAGGAAGGGTAGTTTTGGAGGGTCCTTACAATAAGAACTATAGCATTCTGGGGGTCTATATTGAGGGCCTTTCGTAGGGAAACTACGTTATGTAAATTTGATGTCATGCCAGACTCCTTGGTCCGACAGGAAGGTCGCTCTTGCGATGTACAGTCTGAAGTGTAACGGAAGCGGGACTCGGTTAGGGTCTAGTGCTCAAGATTTAGGATTTGGAGGTGGTTTTGTCCCCCCTGCTTGCAAGAGTCGCTCAGCCTCATCGGATCATTGCGAGTTTTTTGTCACTCCGTTGCTGTGCAAGTTTGGCGTAGACTATATTCATGATCGTGTGATGTGTGAAGATCAATCACCCCGAAACCACAATTAGGTTGCTGCTCCCCTAAACCTATATACTTACATGATGGTAACTTAAACCCTAAACCCTATTTACACATATGATGGCAACTTAATCTACGTTCCTGAACAGCAACCCAAGAAATTCGGCATACATGAGGTGCTGGCCTGTGGAAGTGCCTGAGCCTTTTGGAGGAGCGGGTAGTCACTTGCACCAAGCTGAGTCGTTCGAACAGAAAAAGACGAGTGTCTTCCAGTCATTTCTTTTGCGGCCAGCTGCCGGTCGCCTGCAACCATTCTGCATGTCCAAACGTTTTGTTCTGCGACTCGGAAGAGCAACCCAATGGTTCCTGTGACGATTACGCGGGCAACTTCAAGGCTTAAGTTGCGAGCTCGTGTGTTTACGTACAAGTAGGACCTAGCTATCTATGCATTGCATGAGCTTGTAGTCTAGACATCAGACATGACGTCGCGTCGTATGGGGTATAGACATTTGAGGAGAAGCGACTATTCAAGTTGTGCAGCGAGAAGTCTTGCGCGCTTAGCTGTGGAGCTCAAGCACTGAAGCCATGTGACTACTTGGAGGATCAACCCTAAACCCTAAACCTCAAACCCTAAACCCTAAACCTTAAACAGAATAGGAACAGTACACAGCTTGGGCCGCGTGATGTTGGGTCAGCCGTCCAGTCGCCAACCAGATGACAGGCACCCCAAGTCAGGAGAAGTCATATTCAAGAGAAACAGTTTAGGGTTTAGGGTTTAGGGCTTAGGGAGTCATATTCAAGAGAACCAGCACACAGTTACAAGTACCAAGCAAAGTGCCAGCAATTGCCTTTACAAACCAACCTGGATTACTATTCTTGGCGTGCCCTCACAAATGGTACTGGCTATGTAAGCCATAGTCTAAACTTTGGGGGGGTGTTATATAGGGGATTATATAGGGGACCATTCTAGGGTTTACTAAGTTTAGGCTATAGCTCATGTGCTCTCCAATCTGGACTCTGCCATGTATGCGCGGTCCACTGCCGCCCTTTGCTGTGTTGGAGGCGGCTGCCCCAAACAAATATACTGAAGATCAATGTTATACAGGGGTTATATAGGGGATAATGGAAAAGAAAATGGAAGCTGCTATAGTATAATAGGGTATATACAGGGATTATATAGGGATAATGGAAAAACATGGAAACTACTACTTAGGAATTATAATCCATGTTACTGCAGCAGCAGGTGCGTTCTCGGTAGAAGTGACGATAGCAAGATAAGGTTGCCCGAACAAATGAGGGCCCGCAGTTTTGGAAAACCCCCTTGTGCCAGGAAGGACGCGGATCGCAGCCGTTTGACACTGGCGCTCACAGACAGCTGGCAAGATAACAAAAAGCACGTCCTGTCCTAGGCAGCCAGGCTAGGGTTTCGGGTTTAAGGTTTAGGGTTCATTTTGTTAGACGGCTTCAACACTTGGCCACGTCCACGTGCTGCGCATTGGTGACAAATTACGGGGCATCCTTGCTTCTGCAGGTCTAGTAACAATGGTTTTCATCCTCGATTGACAGGAGTCTGGAGTCTGGTGTGCCTGCCGATTATGGTTTGAACCGGAGAGGTGTTCTGGCTCCATGCAAACGCAGTCTGGCTTGATAAAGCCCCGCAGTACATGTAGGGGGTACACTACGTATAATTGGGCCGTACTAGAACTGACACCCCCGGCCCAATGTTCTGGGGCCATTGTCAAATCTTAGCCAAGAACAAGGAGTGGCGCCCCAAGTTAGGATCCACCAAGTAAGCCACCCAAAATTTGATATGTCAGTGCGATCCGTCTCTTTGCAAACTCCTGATGTCAATGGGCTGGACTCTGCTGGTGCTGAACCTGGCGCTTCTTGCAGCTCCAGGTGAAGAGTTTCCAGAATGTAGAGATGATGGAGCATAAAACACGAAAGAACATGAAACGGAAACTGGGCTCATGTAGGGGTTCGTAGGGACAATGGCGGGCGTGGAAGGTTCGTGGTGTAGTTGAGGGTTGAAGCAGGGATTTCCTAACAAGCAACGCGGGTAGTTGCGGCACTGTTCAGGGATAGGGGGCGTGGAAGGCTTGCGGTTCAGGGTTGAAGTAGGTCGGAAGACACGGGGGTTTTGACGGTTTGATCTAACAAGCAAGGGATTGGGGTTGTAAGCTACCGGACCAAAGCGCTAAACCAGATGTAGACTTATCAACGTTATTCCCACAGGAACTTCCTGTCCAACATGTTGCTCAGGAGTGTAGAATGCACTTCACAAGTGCGTTCAATGAGCCTCCAACAATTTCCAGCTACATCTTGGGCTCTTCTTCTTTTTGCATCTCCAACCCTCCTTGACTTCCTTATGGCCGCGCAGGGCCCTATTCCACACTGGTCAAAAAAATGGCGATCAATTTTAAGCAGGTTCTCGGGGATGTTGTTGTCACTGACCATAGTCGCTGTCGCACCACTGTCTCATGGATCTCTAATTTCAGGTCTTCAGACTTGCCGTTTAGATTGAAACCGCTAAAGATCCAAACCTCCAACCCAGAAACACCTAAGTCTCAAAAGCCTTGCAAGCCCTAAGAACCCTGCTAGAAGCCTTACACTGTTCTGCCAGATGCCGTGCTGCCTCCGGAGACACCTACGCATTCCAGACATCCTCGAGCAGGTGTCCAGATTTGGGTCTGGGGGTTAGATTATGGAGGCTTTGGACGCACATTTTCTTTCGTATGGATCTTGGAATCCGTGCCCGGCTTCGCCAAGGCTTGCAAGGCAAGAAGGCAAAGTCTTAAACAATAACAGCAGTCTCAGCGTTGCAACTCTCCCTCCCCCATGCTAATTTCAATTGCCAGCTCCCGATTCCTTGTTGATTCGGCCGCTTGCCATCTGAAAGTGAACATCCAAGAACGAAGCACCCATAGAGTTCCACCAGTTGAGTTCGAGCGCAAACCCCCCAAGTCCCAGTCCTGTACCCTACATCAAAATCCAACAGCCAGGATCCAGAACCTCAAGGCAGCTGTCAGCTCGTCGAAGAATTCCAAGGCCGAGCTACTCAAGCCACCTGGCTGGGAGTAGGACGCCAGCTTTGGGATTCCAGGTGGTTCAGGTGGATAAGAGGTGTAGGGTATCTAGGAGCCGGGGTTCAAGCAGCTTAGGGTGTGGGACATCGGATTTGCACCGGCAATCCAAGGAAAATGCCTATAGGTCTCGAGTGCCCGAGGAAGAAGTTCTGAGCATGCAAGCTGTGGCGCAGGTTCCAGCGTCGAGGGGTTTAGGATCAGGAGTACAATTTCTGCCAAGTTCTGGCCAGAGCCTCGTGCAGTGAGGGTTGAATGTATGCTGGTTGGGCAGCTCACGCTGATTCCGAGCCTATGCTTTTTGAACTTAGGGCTGCGCTTGTTGATCTAGATCTCCTGGGCACTTCACATCTACTCTCAGGCTGTCGCTATGTAGGTAAGCATTGGCTTGCTTGCTTTTTCCTAGATTGCTGTCTGAAGTTTGACGCCCTTAACGACGGGCGGATTTTGGGGCGCTAGGAGGTTGTCGGAGGAAGGCGACAAGGGTCGCATTCCAAGCACACGCAAACATATGTAGTGTCCAAACTCCAAACCATTCAATCTCACCTTGATACAAAATCTCACATCGCATTCCGTAGGCCAAGGCTCCATAGCAAAGCACAGCTGAGGCTACAGTCCAAGTCCTAGCCCTAGCCCAAGCCCAAGCAGCTTGGTTGCATTTAAAGCTCTGCCATTTCGCTCGCGGAGTGTGTTCTCTCCGATCATTCTGAGTTGAGCTAAGGGCTTTGTTTGACCAACAGTCGGGATTTGTCATGCGAATTCAGCTTGTCGTTGCTGAAGAGGGAGTGAGGGTCTTGTCAGCATTGCATGACAGGAAAGCGAGATGATGGGGATTCTCAGGTGGAAGCTGGGGGCTGACGATTCCTAAATGCAGCATCTTATGGCACCGGCAAGTTGCTCTGGAGATTTGTTCTGCTTGTAGTACTATGACTTGCGTGCAAGCTCTAGACTTCTGGAGATGAGCCATCAAACTTGTGAGTGGCGCAAAAGCGAACACTTACAACAAAACATGTCCTTTAGCGCCGATCCAAGTGTGCACCTTGGAATCAAGGTAATTGCCAGGCAGGTCGTGGGTTCTACTACAAAGCGGTTAGCAAGAGGAGCATATTGAGCAAAGCCCTACCTGCAGACGATAGGTATTCCTCAGCCTCAGAGTCACTCTAGGCAGTTGGTGACCCTTTACCCTGAAGCCTTGAAGCCTTAATTCTCAATGGGCGAAGGCAAACTCGAATTTGCGAATGCGGGAAGGCCGTTCTCGATTGTGAACATTACTTTTGTGGTTTCTAGGTCCATTTTAGATATTAACATCCGGAAATTCAACTCGACACCATGCCCCTTCAGGCCCTCAGTCCTTGAACAAAAACGCCTTCTTTGGCTAGCACAACCACGAAACGCTGGAACTTTATGCTGAAAGGCCAGTTTGGCATTCCAAATTTTGGGATTCGGGGAAGGCACATATTTCCAAGCTAAGGATCTCAGGCTGTGCCCACTGAAGCCTCAACATATTGCACGCGAGGCTAATCTTTCAAGGGCTTATTCGCTCAAGTCCGGTGAACCAAAACCGCAATTGTCTCCAAACTCCCCCAAAAGAAAAATAGGCACCGTCTCATCGCCTCGACGACGCTCGTCAA